TTAGAAAAGACACCAGAAGGGGGTGAGTTGTGGAAATGAATTTCTAACCTAGAAACGCAAATCACCCGCAGATGTTTGTGGTGCTTTTCGAGACATTGATAAAATACCCGAAATTCCCTGTTGGTTTTTCAGGAAAACAAAGTCTTAGATTGGAGAGTCTTCTATTTTGTGATTTTATTGTTTTTCCTCCATGGGCATTATTTCATTTAATTGCAGATTGCATTGAACATATTCACTTTAAATAACTTTAGGTTTAGAGTTGTAAAGACAGTAAGGACAATTTCCTATTTACTTTATATTTTTCATGAGTCGTATGAGCCAGATCTTTGCAGAATAATTGTACTTAATTTCCTGTAGCCATGAGTATTTTTTATTTTTTGGTGGCTTCTGGATACTGGCTCTGGCCACGCGTCTTTGAAATACGAGGTTGAGTTTCTTGATTTTCCACAAACGGTCCATTCTGACAAAGAGGCGGGGAGATAGGAGCCAGCCTGTCAGGGCCCCTGCAATGAGCCCTTTCAAAGGGGGCCCTGTGCTAACCATCCTGAGGGGGGGGCGGTTTGCAGAGCTGTTTTCTGGATAAAAGAAGTGAGCACTGAACAACTTCCAGCTTTGGTGAAGCAACAAAACACCCTTCTGTGTGCACGACCGGTGCATGTTCCTTAAAAGGTTACATTTCAAAAGAAATTGATTCCCGCTCCCCTCCGCCCCCCGTAACACCAAACCTGTATTAAATGGCTCTCCATCCTCATTTCTTATCCATTCGGCTCCTTTGTGAATTAAATGCTGATCTTGAAAAGTATGGTAGGAGCCCTGTCTGGTGTGGCTCAGTGGTTAGAGCGCCGGCCTGCACACCGAGGGGTCTCGGGGGGGCTTTGATTCCAGTCCAGGGCACGTGCCTGGGTTGTGGGTCCGATCCTAGGCCACTGTCGGGGTGCATGGGTGCATGCGTGAATCTCAGTCTCTCTGAAAAGCAATGGATTTTAAAATTGGAAAATTTAAAATTGCAGGAGCTTTGCAGGCCTTGGTTATGTGTTTTAAGAAAAAGGGGCGATAAAAAGCTTGCTTTTAGAACCTGTCTCATTCAGGAAAAAAAAAATGTTAACTTTGCCTTTTGCTATGCAGAATTTTAAAAATAATCCGGCTGCCCGGCCGGGCGTGGCTGAGCTGTTGAGCATCGACCTGGGATCCAGGCGATCAGGGTTTGATTCCCGGTCAGGGCACAGGCCCGGGTTGTGGGCTCGATCAATGACTCTCTCATCATTGATGTTTCTCTCTCTCTCTTCCTCTCCTTTCCTCTCTCTGAAATCAATATATATTAAAAAATAATAATAAAAAATAATAAAAAATAAATAAAAAATAATCCTGCTGAGATGGGAGAGGCCGAGGCATAAAAGAAGCAGTTTAGCATCTCTGTGCCCATCTGTTTCCATTCTGCAAAAGAGCCCCCGTGGGTGGAGCCTCAGAGATTACAGACCCCCTTGTATGTGCTGGAGCGAAATGGGCCGGCTCCTCCGGTCAGAGACCCCAGGAGAGGTAACAAAATGTGACTCAGTTTATCGTTATCTCGGATCTTGCAATTGCCCTTTGGCGCCTTGAAAGCCGCTGGCCATCGCTTACGACCTGCTTTCTGCCAATATCACCCTTATGGGTCTCAAAATTATTCTTATACCACCGGCAGGCGGATATTTAAGTAACAATGAAATAAAAACGGTGCATGATACTGGTGGTCATTCCAGTTAGCGCTTCGGGCACCCATCGATAGCAAAACGCTGGACATGTGGTTGGAGTTTTTTCTTCAAAAGTCATGTGCATCAAATGCCGTTTTCCTGCTTAAGGAAGGGAAAGATGTTGTTAGAGGTTAGTATTTTTTTTAAAAATGTGTTTATTGATTTTTAGAGAGAGAGGAAGGGGAGAGAAACATCAATGATGAGAGTCATTGATCGGCTGCCTCCTGCACGCCCCCGACTGGGGATCGAGCCCGCAACCCGGGCCTGTGCCCCGACCCGGAATCGGACAGGCGACCTCTAGGTTCACAGGTCGACGCTCAGCCACGGAGCCACGCCGGCCGGGCAAAACGGGTATTTTTTTTAACAGAGTAACCAGTGCTGTGGGCCTACCCCGAAGAGATCGTGAAAACATGAATTACGGTAAAAATGGGTGGTAGCTTGGAGAGAATAAAGGTTTTAACATGAAACAGAAATAAATTAGTGTCTTCTTTTCCGTGTCTGTGGCGTGGCTTTGAGAAAACAGGCTGATTTTTTTGAATCTCTGGGGCAGGTGGTGGCTTTCTGTCCTTTGCAAGGCGACAGAAATTATCTATTGTCTATATAATATAAAGGCCCGGTGCTTTTATAACTGGGAAATTTCATAGGTATTGAGTGGCAGCCAGTACTCCCAGGCACCTTATAATTTCTCTTGTTATGAGTTAATATCACTGGACGTCCTGTTCGCGTCACTGTTGACTCAGACACGCGGTTGCCACGGGACACAGAGGTAACGGCTACTCTGCGTGAAATGCCCTCACCGAAAACGAGCCCCCTTGATTTAAAAAATAATTCCGATGACTCTCGTCGCGTGAAGCACATGAGACGATCTTCCCATCTGCTGCCTGAAAGATGAGTGTTTTCTCTCATCAGAACTGGGCCCACTCTCGTTAGCCACCGACCACGTAATTTATCGGCCAGTCCAGGAGACGTGGGCTGTTTCAACCTGTTATTAATCCCCTGGGCTTGTCCCGGGCAAGCTGGGCTGTGTCATCGTAGCTATAAAGTGATTATTTATACCCAGAGGAGGTGTAAGGATGGAAGTGGTGTCTCACTTATTTGCAAACAAGATGCCCTTTTATTTTTATTTTTAAATATGTTTTTATTAATTTCAGAGAGAGAGAGAAACATCAATGATGAGAGTCATTGATCGGCTGCCTCCTGCACGCCCCCGACTGGGGATCGAGCCCCAACCCGGGCCTGTGCCCCGACCGGGAATTGAACCCTGATCTCCTGGATCCCAGGCCGACGCTCTACCACTGAGCCACCCCGGCTGGGCCTAGATGCTCTTTTATAAGCACATTTCTTATTAATTCTGCCACAGGCATGTGTCATGAGGAAGGCATGTCCGTTCAGAACTGGAGTTTTGTATGAAATGTGCCTCTTTGTGTGTGTGTGTTGTAAACATCTTTAATATGAAAGTAAAATCTCTCTGGTGCTTACTGATGGGAACGTGTAGAATCTGTCGACTTGTGGCTCTTCCCTCTCTTGCTCGTGGATTGTCTCCAGCCGGCATGCCGTTCGCAGCATCCACCGGCTGGGTCTATATCTGCGCAAACATTTATTGTCGTTCAGCTCACGTGGGATTCCCTCTTTGCTTCATCGATGACTTCATACCTCAGGCATCTTTTAAAGCTATTTTTGCTCCCAAATGCTGCTATTTTTTGCTATAGCACCAGTTCTCCAGGGACCCACGGCGTGGACCGGCCGGTGTGGCTCAGCGGTTGAGCATCTAGGAGATCACGGTTCGATTCCCGGTCAGGGCGCCGGCCAGGGTTGCCGGCTGGACCCCCAATAGGGGGCGTGCAGGAGGCAGCCGATCGATGTATTTTTCTGACATTGGTGTTTCTATCTCTGTCTTCTCCTTTCCTCTCTCTCAAAAATAATTAAAAATACATATATATATATTTTTAATCTTTANTTTCTGACATTGATGTTTCTATCTCTGTCTTCTCCTTTCCTCTCTCTC